CCATCAAAGGTGATGTAGTGTGGATCCCCCCACACTGTGCAGGTGGACATGGCATCGTAACAGCCCAGCTGGCCGTCTCTGATGGAGCACTGCTGTTCAGGAGTGCAAGATGCAGCAGAACATCGCAGGTCATTTGGAGCGTGACATTCACATCTCTGGGAGCAACCGTCTGTCCAGAAGGACTCGCCAGCCTGTGAACCACACAGAGGTGGGTCGCTTATCCAAAAATTGTACTCAAGTAAGAGTATCATTACTTTAAAATATTATTACTCAAGTAAAAGTGAAAAGTAGTCGTCAAAAAAAGTTACTCGAGTAAGAGTAAAAAAGTACTTGGTGAAAAGGCTACTCAAGTACTGAGTAAGTAGCGAGTAACTGTTTGTCCGATTTATTTTATAAATAAATGCTATGAGACAAACAAAAATAAATAAATATACAAATTTTAGTATTTTCAAAGGGAATACATGTATATGTAAAAAGATCCACAAAATAAGGCACAACAATTCTAATTTCAAGATTTCAGTTTTTCACAACATAAATCTTTTTCAAGCAAAACACACAGTAAATATATTTGCATTTACAGCAGCCTTAGAGAAAACATTAGAACGAGGCAACTTCAACATAACAGACTACAGCTGATGCGCCAGAATGTCATACTAGGGGTGATTCTTTTAAATACAAGAAGGGATTAAGTAAATCAGAAACAAATGACACAGAGATGCAACAGGTATAATCAGGAAGTTTATTCCCAAGGCGGACAGCAGGAATAAAAAAAAAAAACCAAAAAAACCCCACACACATACACACACAACACATCTGTGCTAAAATTCCACAGGAATAGACATTCTAACAAAACTATAAAATTTTCTTTGTATACTAAAATACCCTGAAGTATAGACAGTGGATTAACACAATGTAATATGTAAAAATGTAAAAACTACACTCACAAATAAACACTGAAATCAGACTAAAACTAATTATAAAAGACAAATACAAATTTCCACTATGTGGATGTACATATGTGTATGGCTCACTTTACCATAAATAGTTTCTTCAGTAAGTGAAATGATGGTTCAGCTTCAGCAGCAGTTTGCTCTCAAGGTTCTTTCTGTGAAGCTGTGACTGTTTAGCAGTGAACAGGAGTCCTGCATGACTAAAAAGTCTCTCACAGGCTGCAGATGCAGGAAGGGCTGTATTGATTTTGATCAACAGCTTCTTGATCTGAGGAAAGCTATGCAATACATCCATACCTCCAGTGAATGGACATGAAAGGTACCTCTCCAGTTCCACTGCTTCTGGCTTTCCTGACCCCATGGATCCATCATCTTTGTCGGTTAGGCTGCTGTTTGTGCTGGCCTCACCCAGCTCTGTGTCTAGGTGA